AATAATTTGAGGATGCCAAACACTATGTAGATGGCTGGTTTTAAGCTTTTCACACGAATATCTTCATGTAAGATGGTCACAGCGACATTTTATTTGGTTATTAAGAGAGGCATCCACACTAAAATGAAAGGCTGGAGGAGTTGAGAATATCTTCATCCTTGAAATGTACTCTTGTTTGTTGAAAAAGAAGCCTTAAACAAACGTTGACTGGGAGGGGTGCTGGTGTTCTAATATGTGGCACTTCTTGAGCAGAATAATAAGCCTTTCAGGTTTTTCTTTTCTTTTCTCTTTCAGAGTTTGGATTATAACTTACAACATGTATTTGCATAAAAATTGTACAACCAAATGGGTAGCATTTTCATATCAGATCGCAAAAGCCTATATAACCCAACCTCATTAGACGAAAACATTTACATGATTTGATAGTCTTTATAATGTTTCTAAACCCAAACTTGGTGTTATATTAAACTCAGCAACTTAGCATAATGCAACTTTATAACAACCCGATTGAGGTCCAGTAGCACTCTCCAAGCCCCAACAAAGTAATCTGGATCCCTTGTGTCATGTGATCCACTGTCTTCAAATCTCTTCTTTCTAGCATCATAGATGGGAGAAGTCACAAAATGATTATTTCCTGGGAAGACTGGGATTAAGCCTGGAGCAACACACATTACCTCTATCACCCAGACTAATCACATGGCCCTAAAACAAATGCAAGGGAGGATGGGAAATGTAGTTTTCCTATGTGGCCATGAAAAGGAGGAAGAAGGAATCTGGTGTCTTGCACCTACTTTGCAGGGCTTATTGATGATTAAATAAAAACAAACAAACAAACAAACAAAAAAAAAAAACCACTGACAAGTGTTATTTCCTTTCCTCCCTTTGGAAGCAGCTAAATATTGTACAGTAATCGTGGAGTAACGGTAGAAGTGATAATGGGGGCAGGGCACATGGCTACTAGTAAAGGACACACTTAAAGAAATTGGGTGCAGATATTGGCAGCGTTCAGCCATGGCTCTGGTGACCCAAACGGTGGGTTGAGAACAAGAGAAGATAAAAATTGTGAAGTTAGGAAGTGCTCTTGAAAGCATTCTGGGAACGTAAGAACAATTCAAGGAGAAGGGCAAGAGGTAATAAGGGGTTTGGCTGGAAGAAATATGAAAATCTCAGCCAATACATGGTAGGGCAGAGGTTGAAGGAGGCAGTATGTAAGAAGGTGTACAGGTTCCCTTCAAGAGAATACGGCAGTGCTCAGTGCCTTAGTGCGTCCGCCCAAACGCTGAAGCGCTGTGTCACGAGTGAGTAGAACGCTACTGAAGGAAATAATCTTTCATTAAAAACACAAAATGCTCAGTAGATTTGAACTATAACATTAAACACTGAAGTGATACAATGTAAAAGCAATTATTTCTAAATAAGATTGGAGAGTCCAGTTTTAGTTTCTCTAAAAATGTTTAAATACAATTCAAGAATGCTGAGTGTGAACCTGAATGAGATGCGGGGGGTGGGGTGGGAGCACAAACCATAAAAATTTTTGTTGGGAAAAGGAAACTTAAATATGAATTGAATTTAGATACAGAATTTTCTCAGCTGTAACTAAAGGTAAGGGTTAGGTACAGGTATATCTTTTCCTATTTAGTACTTTTTCCTGCTGCAGTACTTGGGAGACTTGGGAGTGAAATATGATGTCAATGAGTTAGTTCAAACGATCCAACAAAAGTATAGGAAGCTTCCGTTTGAGCGATTTCTTTCCCTTTCACATGACATGTAATACAACAACCATTGTTAATTTCCTATCATTATGTTTTGAAATTCTGTATCATTTTTAATTGTCTTTGTGTTGTCTTATTTTTGTCTTTGTTATTTTGTTATTGTTTTTTCTCTTTAAAATAAAAAAATAAGAAGCAACTCCAGCATAATGTCAACAATGACTGAATCTAGGTAGACAATGTATGAATATACACTGTATTGCTATTTCAATATTTCTGTATTTTGGGAAAAGTTGCCTTAACAAAATTTTGAAAAATAACAAATAGAATTATTTTTATACTACTTGCTTATCAAGAGAATGAAAGCAGTAAACTTTTTATCCAAAGAACATATCATCAGGTCAATAAACCAAAATGTTTTAAGTGATAGGGTGGGAGTTAACATATAACAGGTACCAGACCATAAGCTCAATGAAGGGAGGGACAAGATACAAGTTTTTTTTTTTCTCACTGCTGTGTAGCCAGTATTTAGCCAAGTCCTAGGAAGTAGATGATACATGTAATTCTGTTGAGGGAGTGGTGAGGTAAATATGAAAATCCTATGCTTACAATTTTTTCATACCTTCTATGTATATCACTGCCTTCTGAAAGGTAAAACAAAAATAGTATTTATATATTTGGTATTTGATAACTCCATTATCAGCTGAGATATTTTAAAATTGTTGTTCACAAAGATGTATCTAAGCGTACTTTCATACTTTATTTTCTTTACATATGTTTCACTAAATATTTTATGTTAAACATAATAGCTGGATTGTGTTATTTTTTTCATGGCTATTATAAAAACATCAGATGGCTGGGGTCTGGAAGGAGGTTCTCTGAAGCCTTAAAGTTCAATTACCAAAGATTACTAATGATTCAAAGTTACTAATTTTCTATTAAAATTAGTAGTGATCTATCACTCATTTTCAGAATCTACTTTTGCAAACTCAGATGATGAGAAAGATAACATAGGGGAAATCCCAGGTGTTTAAGTTTTCTAGGTTGCCTTATTTAAAATGTTACTGAATTCTGATATCCAGCTGAGCAATTGGCACATGCCTATAGGCCAAGTTTGTTAGAAGGCTGAGGCAGGAGGATCACTTGAGTCTAGGAGTTTGAAGCCAGCCTGGGCAAAATAGCAAGACTGTCTAAAAAAAAATTGCTATTATTCCAACACTTTTTAATAGCATTATGAAATGATTAGAGCTCTATCCCCAAATCCAAGGCCTTTCCTGCAATGTGACACTACTAACCACTGCTTTATTTTCTGAAACTTTTTGCAGACGCCAAGAAGTATGGTGATTCTTTAATGGGGCAATGAGACCTAGCGACAGATTGGTCATAAGAGATGAAAGGGAGAGTAGAGAAACTTTATTTCCTTAAAGCAAGTTTTCTTCTGTTTAATCCCTTTTTAGCACTATTGATATTAACCTTGAAGTTTTTATTTGTTAATGTCAATGTTTAATCGGATCCTAAAGCTGTTAGGCTTGAAATAATCTCATTCAATTGTAGAACAAGAGGTTTGTCATGTGGACGTGGACGATGTTCTGTAGACTTTTGGGAACTAATTTACCTTATTGCTCCGGAGGACTGAGGCAGTGTGATACAATGGCACATTTACTGTGTGTGAAGACTCAGCGAGGAGTCCAGGCCTCTTTACTTGCTGACCTGATTCTAGCTAAGTCACTTAATTTTGCTGGATCTTAGCTTCTTTCAGTTTTAAAATATCACTGATGTTACATCAGGAACTGAGATAAGAAAATAATAAAAACAATTAAATATAGCCAGTTGGGGAAATTTGCCAGGCAGTGCATACTGAGATTTGAGTAAAATTATGCAAAAATATATTTTAGTAGGAACTTTAGGGAGAGAGAAAATAGCATTGTGACTTCTATAAAATTAATGAACTTGGGAAATGAAAAATATGTGTAGTGGGGAAACCATTTCTTACAGTTTTCTGTCAGAAAAATACTGAACAGAGACATCAGACAGTTAATAGCTTCAAAAGAATTAAAAATTGCCTTTATGTACTTGAGGGAAACTAAAATAAGCAAAAGCCAAAAACTACCAATGAGGTATTTTAATAGTTGGAAGATGGTGAATTATTTTGGAAGGAAAAGAATTTAAAAAATAGTTCCAAGCCGGGCATGGTGGCCCATGCTGGTAATCCAGGAACACTGTGAGTTCGAGGCCAGCCTCGGCTACAAAGTGAGTTTAAGGGCAGTCTGAAGTGCATAATGAAACCTTGTCTCAAAAAAGACAAAATAAATAGTTTCATAGCCCTACTTTTAAGAAGTAAAAGTATCATATCCATAAAAGCTAATTAGGTAAAATGTAATTTTTCTTATTTTGGAAAGAATCTGCCTTAAATATAACTCATTTGGTGGTGTTACTTTACCTGAATTTCATTGCCCAAATGTGGACAAGAAGATACTGGAAAACTGGGCATTTCAGAGATTAGGCATTAGAAATTAACACCACACTTTACAGAGAGGAACCCAAATGCTAGCTTATAGACGAAAAGGTCCTCAACAGTGCCAGTGACTGCGGAAATGTGAGCTCAAATCACAAGGCGATATTATCCTATACCCTCCAGGGCAGCAAAGCTGAAAAGGACTGACAATACCATGCTGCGAGGTGTGCAGCAACAGGAATCACGCATTCCTATCCTAGTGTGAGTGCATTGCTTCGGAAAACAGCGTGGTGTTATTTACGCAAGCTTATGATATACACTCTCAAGTACACACTGCAGAAACTGATGTGGATGTTTGCATCCACAGCATCTAGGAGGAAAGACAGTATTTGTAACTGCCCCAAACAGAATAACCCAGATATCCACCAACTATAGAGTGGCTCAGCAAACTGTCACATATTACTACAATGGAACATCCTCATATACAGAAATTAAAACAATCCAACTATAGCTATAGGAATAACGTGAACACTGTACGGATTAAAGTGTCGAGCAAATGTAGGGAGCACAGCACATTACATCCTAATTGTTTCATTTACATAGAGCTCAAAAGAAAGGACAAAATTAAGCAATATATTGCTTAGGAATACATGCCTATGAAAAAACAAGAAAGCGAAAGAAACAATTATCACACAAGTTAGAGTGGCTGCCTCTTAGTAAAAAGTTATTTTCTTCAAGGAGGTCACCACGGGCGCCCTGGGTGCTGACAATACTTCCCTGCTGGGTTGACTGCTTCGATGCTGGTTTCTTTGATAATTACTCATTATACTCTAGAATTATTTTATGCATTTATAGTACATTTCACAAAAATGCTAAAAGTGATCAATATATTAGGGGGAAAATTTGCCAAACAACAGCATACCGCAATCACTGACAGTAGAAACCACCGATGTGGGATAATAAAACACCACGCTCACTTTCAAGTATAGGTGTGAACCTTGTACAAATGTCCCTTTTGTTGTATTGTATTAACATAGTATGCAGATCTTCAACATACATTGATGAACCAAGGACAGAACTGTCAGCTGAAACTTCAGTTTGTGAGATTTTTGAATGACTGTTTTCTCCTCTGGATTAGCAGGCAACATAAGGAACTAAAGAGATGGAGTGAGTTGGAAGCGTATGAATTTCCTCCTTCTCAGAGGCCAGCTCTGTGTTATCAGCCTGCGTGGTGAGGCGGGTGGGCTTTGCCAGCAAGCTGTGCAGCTCAGGGCTCTCGAGTGCGCTTCTGTTTTTCCCTAACAAGGCTGCAGGGTGGTACCACTGACTATAGAAGTAGAAGATGAAGCCTTTGAAAAGACCCTTCCCGGCACACACTTTCCCGGAGGTGTTCTCTAGTGCGCTGCAGAGCTCTTTCTTTTCATTCAAAGCCCACAGAATTTAACCTATGAAGTGCTTGGCTTCACAAGACCTCCTACATTTGTGTTTAACGCTTTAAATTTCCACCATTCTTCTGGTGTAGGATAGGAAGAGGGACAGAAGCAGAAATGATTTTGTAGCTATGTGAGTCCCTGGCTCGTTGATCTGATTCCCTGTGAGACTTAGATGGGAAGATACAGAAGGTGACTAGATCATGCTAAGACCGTGGATACAGGGGTAATTGAGGCAAGATATTTAACCTGACCCTCGGAACTTTAGGTCAAGGGCAGGAGGGTCAGGTGCAACTTTTGAGTCTCTCGTTTTGCAGGTCCTCGTTCTTTCCTCCTATTCACCTTTTCTGCAGCATTTCAATAATGAGCCCTTGAATTTACCCAGTTCAGTTTCCTTGGTATACTCTTTCGCATATGCTGGCGGAAGTAGTGGCAGAAACCCTGGCTTCTCCAATTTGTCTGTAATGCAATTGCTCTTACCCATGCACGCCCCCCACCTCCAAAGATGGAAAGATTTGTAGTATCCATCGCTGAAGTTTCCAGAAGTAGCGTTGCCAGGGTCCAGCGTCATAATAGTGGCATCTACTTCCTTTCATCATTGCTGCGGCTTTAATCTCATTCTCACACTAGTCGGCGGGAAAGTAACTTACTGCCAGAATGAGGATTCTGGTCCTTTTATCTTAAAATTTCTTTTCCTAGAAAACTATACTTTAAATTTCACGCGCTTTTAATCTGCACTGACTTCCCAGTATAATAACGATAGGAAAGGCTACACAATCGTAGTAATGTTTATTTCACAAAGAAACTAATAGCCTTTGGGTTAGACCTGGAAGACAGACGGCAGTAAGGCACAATGAAAATCAGTGAAAACTCCCTCCACCTACTCCCGGAGGAAGGCGCCCTTTCAGTCCTCTTCTCCCCGCTCCCCGGCAACTCTGCTCCTCTTCCACTAAAAACTCAGGTAGTAGCTCTATCCTAAAGCCTCACCCCTGATTCCTTTCACGGCTGGGGGCGGCGGGGGTGGGGGCGGACGGGACGGATGTATTACAATTCTCATCATTCCAACGCGCTGCAGTTCACAAAACTCTTGCACTTGCATCCTCTTGAAGAGTTCCGCTAAGGCCACGGAGAGAGGCGTCCGTCCATTCAGCAAACCTTTGCTCGGCCTGACCTGACCGCAGATTATCCGGCGCTAGGTCTCACCGCGCGCCAGGGGAAGGGTGGGGCGCTCGCTCCCAGGAGCAGGTGCAACGATCGCGCTGGAGGACAACTTCTCGATGGGCTGGCCTTTCCAGGGCCTGTCCGGGGCCAAACGCCTCACGTTCGGGTGGTGCGCGCCGGAGCCCGGCCCCAAAGCCGAGGCCCCCTGCTTGGTCTCAAACGAGTAGTCGCCACCTGCTCTGGAGGGAACCGCTACGGAGCAAGCTCTCCCTGCGGCCCTCGGGTCAGGGGAAAGATCGGGCGGCAGCTTAGACTCAACTGGGCTCCTCCTCTTCCTCTCTTCAGTTCTGACGCGGCCGTAGAGGCGGCGGCGGTGGCGGCAGCGGCAGAGGCAGCAGCGACTCCCGCGGCCCGAGGCGCACCCACCCGCTCGCGGAACCTCGACTTCCTCTTCCCTTCCGCGTCATCAGCGCGCGCCACGCGCCACAGTCGCCAGGGCAGGGTGGGGAAGAGGGAGGAAAAAAAGGCCCGCGGAGGAAACCTCGGAGCGGAAAGAATAGGGAGGGGGCGGGGGGGCAGAGCGGTTGCTAGGCGACTGCGTCATCAGTAGGCGCCGCTCTCCTCCCGCCCCTCTCTCTGGAGTGAGGCGAGAGCCCCGCACAGAGCGAGGGAGACAGCGAGCGGAGCTCCGGGTGCCGCCGCCACTGCCGCCGAGAGCGTGAGAGCGAGGGAGCATCCGAGGGGCTCAGCTCCGGTGCACTGGCCGCCGCCGAGACCTCAGCCTCAACCTGGGCCAGCGGGAGCGCGGCCGTCCTCCTCTCCCCCCCTCACCTTCCCGGCCGGCAGTGGCTGCTGCACACGCCGGAGCCGGAGCCGGAGCCGGAGCCGGAGCCGGAGCCGGAGCCGGAGCCGGAGCCGGCGGCTGGGGGCAGGGAGGCGGCTACCGCGGGTCGGGACTGGTAGCTGCTTCGCTCTGAGAGGACGCTGAGGAGGGGCTGGAATTTCTGCCTCGTCCCGGGCGTGGGGCGAAGGACTCCTAGGTGTAGTAGGGCGGGGGTCCCAGCCGCGGCGACACATGCGGGAGCCGGGAGCGGGGGCGGCGCCGAGCGGAGCCGGCCGGGTCCCCCGCCTCGCCGCCGCCTCGGCCGCCCGCCTGGGGCCGTAGCATCTGGCCCCGGAGTGCATGAGCCGGGGCCCCAAGCGCGGCAGCCACCCGCCGCCCGGGGGGGCGGGGACCCCGATGTGAAGCGGCAGGACCTGCGCCGCCGTCCTCTCCTAACCTTCCCCTCCCCTCCGCCCCCTCAGGGGGTCTTCTCCCTCGGCCCGTCGCCGGCCCCCGGCTCCTCGGCAGGCCCCCGGGAGTTCGCAGAGCCCCCTCCCCTGCCCCAGCCCGCCCAGGGCGGCGGGGCCGGGGGGGACCCGGGGGGCAGCCTCAGTGCAGAGGAAACTTTGTGGAGACACAGCCCGGAGTGTGCCGGACGTGACTGTCCCAAACGTGACTGTCCCGGGACAAGCGGCCCGGGAAGGGCCGAAGACACAGCCTGAAGAGACCCAGGAAGAGGAAAAGAGGAGGTGAGCGGGGCGCCTCCTCCTCTCCGCCGGCAGCGCAGCGCGGAAGAGACCCGGTGGCCGCCTGGTTGATCGGCTCGAGCGCTGCTGCTTCCTCAGTTCCGCGCCGGAGCCTTCCGCAGCCGCTGTCTCCGTCCGGAGGAGGAAGGGAACCAGCCCGCCTGTCTGCGCCGCCGCTCTGCTCTAACGCGTGAGTGGCCTCGGGACGGGGACGGAGGGGTGGGCAGGGGAGCGTGCCGGCGCTGCAGTGTGCAGCTGTGCAGTGTGCCCAGGGGTATCGGGACTGTAGGTGAGGCGGTCTGGACACAACTGTGTCTTGCGGAAGGCAGAAGGTATTAGGTGGTGTTTTTGTAACCTTTTAGTTTGCAGGAGTAATGCAACAGTATAGGTTGCTCTTAGAGGAGTTCTATCCAGATTGGATACTTTTACCCTCTCGGGCCAGGAATGGTCAAAGGAAAATTGAGGAAGCCAGCGTGTAGGTGCACACAAAGCACATCTCTGTAATGGACCTTTTCCTGGTACGTTGGCCGAGATGCAGCGCTACATACAGTTTTTGTTTCTGAGGAACTTCCATGGATTCCCAAGTGGGAAACACCATGTACACCCCCGCCCCCCCGCTGTCTTTAGTGAGAAAAAGACCGAGTTTCATTTTATTACCAGCTGTGCAGTAGTATTGTAACACATTTCAGTTGCCCAGGAAATTCTGAGTTCTTAGGAATTAACACGGGAAGAGAGCTTTTATTGCATTAAACAGTTTTATAAAAGTTGTTACATTTTCTTCACACCGATTGTTTTTTAAGACTTTGCTTATTTATCTTACTTATCTGTCACTTTAAAGGGAAACCCTCGATGCTGAATTCTTTCAAGAATGACTTTTTCCTTCTGTTATTTTCAAGTTGAAGTCTAGAGAATCTGTGACTTGTGTTTCGACTCTCTTTGTAGAGTACCAGGTTAGAGGTGAGGTGCGTAAAATTAAGGTTTCATAGATTCTTGTGGACTTCAAAGGTTAAACGTCGAGTGGAATTTTGTGTAAGAAGGCACTAGACAGTACTGGAATGAGAACTCTGGCACATTCAGGCAGTGAATTGTAGGCTCTGTGAAACCACTGCTAAAGATGCTTTGTAGGATTGAAGGTACCTCTGCGGTTGTCTGTTGTAATTTTTCCATTCAGGAGCATGATTAAATTTATTTAAAACTGTCTCAAACTTAACAGTGGTTTGTTTACCTCTATACTTTTTTAAAGTAAGGAGTTTTGCAAGCTTTCTAGCCTTTGTATTATGTACTTATCTGAAACCCATTTACTTATCTCAAACTTGTCTCTATAAAGTTTCAAGACTCATTCAGTTTGTGTTTTGAGAAATGCTCTAACAGGCCTGAGTTTATCTTTTCCTAGTTTTGTAGATTTTTATATTCTTTCCCAACTCCTTCTGTTTGAGAATTTCTTCCATTTCTTTGACCACTTTGCTTTACCCTAAAACTTGTCCGATTATTATTTTTCCTACGATGCCTTGTTCCTGTGAATTTATAAGGTACCGCAAACTCTATTTTAAATGGGAACTGACATGAAAATATTGAATAATGGATGTAAGGTTAGGTTTAGAATCAGAAACAAATACTTTTGGATATATTACTTTATTTTGTGACCTTGAGAAAGTCATATATTCCATTTTTCACAAAGATGATGGAGAGAAGTCTAGTCTTGCATAGGCAGTTTTTGGAGGCGAGTGGAATATAAATCAAGAAAATAGTTTGAAGGTAGATTGCCCTTGGTCAAAGTTGCTTACTAACTTTAAGACCTACTTTCACTGCTTTTATTATTATTTGGTTAAAAAATCATGGTAATGTTTTATTGAGTATTTGGCTAAAAATGACAAAATATGGGGGGGGTCTCTGAGGTGCTTTTATGTTGCCTTTACTCAGGAAGGCAATCAAATACAGTTACATAGAACTGAAAACAGGGATGCACCAATATTAATTGAAGACCACCGTGTGCTGGATAGTACATTTTTCATTAGGGAAAAATGTGGTTTTTCCCTAATGAAAAATGTACTATCCAGCACACGGTGGACCACACAGGTCCCAATTGGAATTGGAATGTCAGAGCTAAATCTCTGAGGGTTTCAGGAAGAGAGGAGCACATAGGGACAAACTGTTTCAGACTTTTGGAGTGGAGGGTGCAAGGGACAGATGTATTTAGGAAGTTAGCTTGATGGGAGCTTGTTAAGTAGGGCTAGGCTTAGTTTGTGTTTGTGTTGTACATGCGTGGTTACAGCCCTAAGAAGCAGTTGACAACAGTGTTGATGAAAGGGTAGTTTCACATGTTTAGGGAGAGGTTACATTTTAGGCCAAAAAGCATTATCCCTGGATTAGGATTTTGTTTTTCTAAGGAACCCACATTTTTCCACCTTGACCATCAAGGGGATACACAAGATAAGTGGAAAAGGATTTTAGTACAGTATTAATGGTTTCTCATAAAAAAAATTCAGAAATGGAACAGTAGACTTTGTTTTGGACATTAAATTTTGGGTTCAGGGTCGGATACTGATACTATTTCAAGACAGTGATTTGCTGACAATGTGAGGTGGAATGTTTTTTTCAAGCACTTAGGTTTCTGAGAGTGCTGATGGAGTGCAAAGAGCTGAAAAATAGGTATTTCTATTTTCTGGGGAGGGGAATCTGTGTTGAAGTGAGTAAAGGTGTAGTTAAGAACAGAGAATGGATGTGTTCCTCCCTAAAAGGTGTTTAAAAAGTGGGTGAGCATTGCATTTGGAAAGGGAGCAGCAGCCTTTATATGTGGCTGTCAGTTTAGACCCAGGACATATGACTGTATTTTTTTGAAACAGCCATAGATTTTTAATACAGTATGTAGGTACCTTGAGATTAAGTTCAAAAGAGTATATAGGATTTCGTTGTTAAGCAACTTAGAAATAAAAGGGAATGTGTTTCTCCAGATTTGTATTTTTGAAGTTTGCCTTGCATGATTATTATCTTAAGTTTGGTCTTAAGTACTGCAGAGTGGGGCTAAAAATAGCCGACAGGGAAGGCTGCTTCCCTTGCTCGCAGTTGGTGTGCGTCTTTGTGTCCCATACAATAGAGGGGATGTCCCTGTGTTGGCACAGAAGTGTTGAAAATATTTTAAAATTTTCAAATTTTTTTTAATTTAAAAGCAAACAACTTGGCACTTAAAAGATTTAGATATTTTTGCAGCTAGCATTTGGTGTTAACTTTACCAAAGGTTAAAGATTGTGAGTAGAGATACATACTCATACTTTTTTGTATTCCTTAGTTTGACTTAAGTACTTTCCTGAAGCTTCTTTGGCTCTTAGGAGAATATTCTTGGCAGAACCCTCTTAGGAAGAGATATTTAGACAGCGGGTTAGGTCTAAGATGAATCCTAGGGTGAAGGATTAGGGGTTGGAATATATTCTGTAGGCAGCCTTCTACCTTTCTCTCCATGCTCTAAAATAGTTCTTATGCAGATGAAGCCACGTAGCTTCATGTGTTTAGATGAGTTTTAAAAGAAAGCCTTTTGGGGTTAATACGATTTACTAAGACAGTAGGACTGGTGGGACTCCAGAATAGTAGGGAGTGGTAACTTCTGGGTACTTGGCCTTGTAGCTTCGGGAATAATAGGAGATGATTAGAGAACCTGGAGAGTGTGTATTTGTGAGTGTCTTAGCACTAGATGACACCAAAGTCTCTGTGTAGAATACCAGTTGCTCTTTTCATTGTGCTTTAGAAAAGTCTTGTGGTACTTCTGACATCTCATTGTGTAGAGGAAGTGTTGGCCAGTTGATATTTTAGGTTTATGGGTCACATTTTCTCTTGAAGTGTGAAAACAGCTATAGACAATACAGAAGAACATGTGTGACTGGGTTTCAATGAAATCCCATTCATGAAAGCAAGAGGCTCATTGAGTTCACCTATAAGCTGTTGTTTACATGCCCTAGGGATAGATAACTGCCACATCTACCAACGCAGATTGTGAGCTGTATTACACTACGAACCAAGGACCTGGCTATGTTAGGTGGTCTTTTTAGGTGAAATGTGCTCCTCCAGCCTTATAGTAGTTCTGCATAAAACAGAGTCTACTGTTCAGTATACTTTTGCCTTCATAGTGATGAAAGCTGTGGACTGAGGAACAGGGGTGATGCCATTTCTAGGGGTACAGCTAAAAAGTATTCATTGATGCCATCGTTGGCAGTACAGGGATATACTAGTTTTGTATCATGACCAAAAGTGTCTGTGAAGAAGCTTATGGACTCTGAAAAAAATTATAAAACATTTATTTGAATATAGAGCTGAAAGTATTTATGGTTAGTTGGAACTGAATAATGATAATCGAATTATAAGAACATTAAGGTTTTAATAATTCTACTTTTTAAAGTCTTAATCTCTTGCAATGACTAATTCAGTGTATGGACTTACTGACTCCACAATTATTTTTGTTTTGTTAATTTCAAGTATTAACAATCACTTAAGTGTGTATTTTAGATACCTTTGCCTTTTTTTTAAAGACAGGATCTTGCTATGCAGTTCAGGCTGGCTTTGAACGCTGTATTTTGCCCAGGCTGGCTTCAAAATCACAGCAGTGCTCCTGCCTCAGCTTCCCAAAAGCTGGGATTGTAGGCGTGCACCAGCACGCCTGGCCTAGTTTTGCTGTACTCTTAAGGGTGAATACATCTCAGATGTTTTGTCCTGAAAGGAATTCACTTTGCGCAATTTTCACATTACAGTTAATATCAAAATATTTGTTTCATATGTCAACAAATACCTGTATTGATGATGGTATGTTTACCCTAGTTTCATAAATCTGATGTCAAGGTTCTCCTGTTTATTGCAAGGGAGGAGACTATTTTTGCAATGATGATTACTTTTTAATTAGTTTTTAACCTGCATTTATATAGTATAGTCATCCCTTTGTGTCTGGGAAATTAATTCTAGGACCCCTGTGAATACCAAAAAAATCACACAAACTAAGGTAGTTACTGAACATAATCAGTATACATTTACCTATATACTTTAAATCATCTTTGATAGCTTATCATATCTAATACAATGTAAATGCTATGCAAATAGTTGTGACACTGTGTTGTGTAGGGAATGAGGAGAAACGAAATCCATACACTTTCTTTACAGTACACAGATTTTTTTCCTAAGTATTTTCTGTCTGTGATTGGTTGAATTGCA